AAATTCATGTAGATCCAATTTTATTATCAGTAAAAATAGAAATGAAACACATTCAATTAGAATAAATATTGATTTAGAATTTAGTGAAATTGTATTTAAGTCAAATTTCATAGAATTAAATTAGAATTGAGTTAATAACTATGTAGAAATGAATAAGAAATAGTGTTTATTTCTTTTTTAGCAGACCAGCCAAAAAAAATCAGACCCATGGAGAGGGACCCAGGAGAGATTGGACAGAAGACATAGGTCCAACAAGTTCAGACTCATGGAGGGGGACCCAGTAGAGGCTAGACAGGAGACACGGGTCTGATTTTTATGTTTTTTGTTTTTGTATTTTTTTGGTAGACCAACGAAAATACAAAAAATCAGACCCATGGAGAGGGAACCAGGAAAGGCTAAACAGGAGACAACTAAAACTGCAGACCACATGTCCACAGATTCAGACAAGAGCCCCAATGGGGTCTGCAGTTTTGTTTTTTTGGATTTTCAAGGTTTTTGCATGGTCTGCTCCAGATGGCCAGAACCTCGAAAATCAAAAAAAACACAAAACTGCAGACCACATGTCCACAAAGTCAGACAAGAGCCCCAGTGGGGTCTGCAGTTTTGTTTTTTTTTGCTTTTTTGGTTTTCCTGAGTGCAGTGTCCAAAACCTGTTGAAAAACCAAAAAAACTAAAAAAACAACAACAAAAAAAACAGACTCATGGATTGCAGAGGGTCTTGGGTTGGTTGGGTTGGTTGTTTTAGTTTTTTTGTTTTTTTGGGTTTTTTGGTTTTTTGGTTATGTGACACTGAAGACACTGAAGCATTTAGTATAATACACTCACTGAAATATAGTGTTTTTGCACTAGTCTACTAGATATGCAAGAATACAGTGAAATATTTACAGTTTTAGCGCACGCTGGTGGTAACGTGTTCTGAAAAAAAAAAACAATCATGAAACATGTCCGCGAATGGGTTCTTCTCCTGGAATCAGGTCTTCACCACCAAGCAGTCGTTGGATGGAAGGGAAACGGAGTGAGTACGAATGATGATGCTTCTGCCGCAAGGTTTCTTACCTTGCTGCAGTCGTCGAAAATAGCTGCGTTGGGCTTGAGGGACCTGTTCTAAAGTTGAGAATTTCCTCATTGGCGTTGCTTAAAGATGGTTTTGCAGGTCTTGCTCCAGCCAATTCGTTCTCCAATGACTGGTGATTCCACGCGAAAAAAACCCTTCTCCACGTGGCTGGCCTCCACACATCCACCCGTTCTCGCAAAAACGCGAGCGAGCGGGGTCGCCGCCTTCTCGATCAGGAGGTCCTGGGAGCTCCCGAGTTGGAGGTCTATCCATGGCAGAAGGGCGATCAGGTCCTCGTGCCTCGAAGACAGTCGCAACCACCGCTGAAGCGGCGGACCACCCACCGTGTGGCACGCGTGCTCGAGCAATCACGACGCGGGGCGCGTGCCGCACCACCACCGCGGCACGGGGCAGGCGGTCCGAAGTCCGCGTGTTCCCGTGTTCCACAGGTGGGAGTGACCCCCCCCCCAGTGACGAGTTCGGCATGGGTTGTTGCGTCATGGAGCCAGCACGGCGGATCTGGAGGGTTTTCGCCTCGCCGGTTTCGTGTTCAGGTGAGTGTGTCAACCGGTGTGTCAACCACCAGGGGCCGGTGGTGGTGTGCTGGTCTTTGCCCATGTGACCTTGTGCAGCAGAGGCACTCCTGCCCGTTCTTTCGACCCTCGCTAGGCGTTCCTAGGCTAAGTTCGCAACCAGCTTGACGCATGGCAACCCACCTGCAACTTTGTGAAGCTACAGAAGTTGCCATTTTGGTGTTTCCTTGGCATTTCCTTGGGGAAGGATTCACCATCGACTCAACACACACTGTGGCACCGAGACTAGCAAACACGAGTATGGCCTGTCTTGTGAAACTGAACTACTAGCGATGGCCTCCAACCTAATAGCTTCTTGCTACTAGTAGGAAAATTGATTCTTCATGCGGGAGATCATGTATGCAATATGTTCACCCTACCAAAAGTGGATTTAAAAGACGGCCGGGCAGGACCCTTGGTGATGTGAGGAAACCGGGACGGATGGGGGTTCTGTTGGGCAGGACCCCGGCAGGACAGCTGCTAAAACCGGTGGCAACCACCTGGAACAGAACCCCAGCTTCAAAACCGACGAGTTGGTCAGTCGAACACTTCTGGACCTCATTGGGCACAAAAAACCAGCCTTGCACCCAGTCCACCCTCAATGAACTGTCCAGTGTCCATTTTCGCGGCAAGGGCGCGAGACCAAAATGCTTTTGAAGCCGCGATGGCGACCTGGAGCAACCCCACATCGAGCAAAACAGTTTGAACAAGCCTTCTGTTCCTCATGAAGTTGCCAGCGCCGCGTTTCTGCCAGCAATGCGTGCTGCGGCCCGTAAAGGAATATGACATGGACGTGACTTCCCTGTTGAGTCTTGTCTTTTGTTCACGCACTGAGGCATCATTGGCTTAGATGGCACGTCTCACTGCGACTCACGCATGAAGCTTTGCAAGGACGCGGCTCACGCATGAACCAAAAGAGCATGATGTACCTGCGTTAAGGCGTAGCCGGATTAAGACCGGATGGCCCGATGGCATGCACGACGCCAAGCCCTTGGGCTGCCACGGAACTTGTTTTTGCCAGCCAGCGGCTCCATGGTCCACGCTCTCGCAGCTGCCACCGTGAACTGGTTCGGGCAGCACTTCAGCGCTTGCCTTCAAAAAAAGAACCTTGACAAAGTTTCCAGCCACACGCCACGCGTGAAAGCAACGCTTTCGTATGGCCACGACAGGAAAGCGATGGACGTTGGTCAGTTGACACCCCTCGCAATCCGCCTTCCTCATTTTCTAGAACCAATTCAGGTCTTGACCCATCGCCGGATCGACATCTCAACCGGCCGGCCCCCGTCTGTACAACAAGCCCGGGCTCCAAGAATGACCGCCCCAGAGCCCGAGGTCGGTTACTCTTGGCTACCGCACCTCGAACGCAAGACATGGGAATACGATGGAATATGTCTCAGTGTTTTTTCTCCAGAAACGGCTTTGAAGTAGACAACGCAAGAAACAGAAAGAGTTTTTGAATGTTTTGGATTTAAAAGAATGCTCGACATCCTCGGGATGAGTGTGTTTGGTCGGTCGTTGGGAATGGGTGGTGCACTGTGCATTTGCGGCCATATGAGGAACGAATGTGATGTAGCGTGGGCCTCCAGCCAGAAACTCTAGAGGAAGTGAAAGTTTGCTGCCACTGGTCTGGAACTATTCTATCTTCAGGTATTCAGGTTTCCAAAGTATTTCGACCCTCGCATTCATCCTGTGATGATGAGAATCATGTTGTAGAATTCCTGCAAGGATGATTGCCTTTCCACCCAAACAGTCCTTGCCTCCATGAGTTTCATGGAGGCCGACGGGAAGTCGTTCGCAGAGATCTGCATGGCCAAAGCCACTGTGTTGGTTCAGAGGTGCTCAGTCTGGGGCTGATGCTTCCAACAGCGAAAACTCCCTAGTGTCCCAGTGGACACATCCGGCATGAGAAGCAATGCCAGCTTCAGGTCTTCTCTTTTGATCCACCCTAAAATAAAAGTCGTTTGAGTCTAGAGATGTGGGAAGTGCCAGGGTTGTGCTGTGGGAAGTCTTGCTTCTTGGTCTTTTGGGGCCGAAAGAATGACTTGGAACCTCCGTCGTCGATTCGCTCGTCCTCAAGTCGTCGTTGCACCGGTCTCCGACACCTTCCGAGGTTTCCAGACTTGGGCGATCCCGACGAGGCCACGGTCCGAGACGAGGAAGGAACAGCAATGCGGAACGACGGTGGAAAGTTAGGACGTGTTTTCGTTGTCCGTTCCAAAACACCTGGTCGAAGAAAAGGTTCTTCCTGTTCCAAAAGCGGAGACGGATCAGTTTTGAGTCTGGTCCGTTCGCCATCTTCGCCAGCCAACACATCGAGGTCCCAAGGCCTCGATCTCTTCGCCACGCGATGGGAGCCGTTCGTCGGCGAAGAGACGTTCGTCGCGACGGGCGATTTCGGACTGTCGGAACCCAAACGGCTCGGTTTCGGCTCTTCAGCAAGGGATGTCATGGTGGTCACGGTGGAAGATCCTCCGGAATTTTGGGGTTGAAGGCAGAGGTGACAGGTGAAACGAACAAGGCCCAGCACCTCCGACCGGTCAGAGACCGGGCCTAGGGCCCTTCCCAACCCTCCAGTCCAGGAGACCTGTTGGGTTCGGTGCTGGTATATGGATAATACCTGTGTTTTTTTCACGGTTCTATTGACCTCAAGGCATGGTTCAAGAATTCGGATCCCGGCTGCTTCCAGCATGCTTCTTCTCGGCCCGCGTCGCAGGCGACGTGCGGCACCTTGGACGGAGTGACCTGGATGGATGCCGTGGTGGTCCTGGTCCATGAGGACTGCTACGTGTCCTTGCCCAGGAAGGAGTCGAGTCGAACGGATCGACTCGTGGACTGATCGGGGCGGATCGAGCGGCTTCGGCGGCGGAGTCTTCCGCGGCGGAAGTCGACTAACCGGTGGCGCCAGTGGCGGAGGTCGCGCCTCCGGCGGAGGTGGACGAGGGACCAGTCCTGAAGCAGGCTGGATGTAGTCATGTATGGGCCAATGACGGGATGTCTATGTGTACAGTGTGTACGGCATGTAGGAAGCACCTGTTGGAGGGTGACATACAATATATCACCCGTCATGGTCCGAGCACTGCCCTTTCCCACCGTCGCAAAAAAAGAAGGGGAAAGTCATCAGAACAGACTCTTTTTCTCTTGGACCCACACTGGTCCGAAGGGGTTTCTGGCCGAATTCCTTTCCCATCCTCCCGTCCGAAACACACACGAAAAGGGGCGGCCGTCGAACGAAACTTGGTCGGCTCCCAGGTGAACGTGTGCTACGAGGACACGGAAACGCTGCCGAACTGATTGAAAAGGCTTACACTCCGACTCACTAACATGGAAGTGGAAAACCCAGTGTTTGTAGAGGAAAGTAGTCTTCCAAGAGGCCCATGCCATCCACGTCACTATGTGATGTGTTCGTCAGAGTGTACTCCCATGTCAAAACAGAGGTTGGGGGGGATCTGGTCTCGTTGGCCGAGTGGTTGTGCACACAGAAAAACGGTTGCGCGGTCCGCGCCTGGCACCATCGCCTAGAAGGGGTGGAAGGAACAACAGGTGCTTTCCGAGGGCTGCAGAACTGTGGGGGGAGTAGTGTTGAGAGGGGCCAAGAAGGTTTCTGCAGCATAGCGCAGCATTCTTGGGGCGCAACATGTTGCTTGTTTGTTCACCAGTTGAAACCATCTATAGAGGGCTACCGAATGTTTCAAGACCTGACTCGAGTCAGGTCATCACCTCATGGGTTGAGGGTGGATGTGGCCTGAATGTGACTTTGGGTTTCATGGCGCTCTCCTCAATTGGAATTGCGCCATGTACTTTTTGTAATGAGTGGGGGGGGTGCAACTCAAGGCACGTGAGTCTCTGGCGAAAGCCTATGGATCACTAGGAAAAATGGCTCAAAGTTGGGTGCATTTGTTGCGGTGGAGCCATTTTGGTCACTCAGGATGGCTCAAGCAAGGACTTCTTGAGTTCTTTTTGACCGTTTTCGATGCCACCAAAGAGGAAAGCGCCGCCAACTGTCCCGAAGAAAGAGGCGTTGCCGAAAGCGGAAGCAGCTCCCAAAAAAGGGGTGCCGAAGAAAGGCGCAGGGAAAGGCAAAGCTGCAGCAAAGGCAAAGCAAGGGGCCGCGCCAAAAGCCAAAGGAAAGGCGATGCTTGGCAATAACTTTAGATGATTTGTTTTCTACCGCTGAATCCTTTTTGGGAATCTATCACTCTCCAACAAGTCACCAAGCAGGGCGTCCATAGTCCAACAACTCTCAAGAGACTTAGACTGCGCTTTGCTCACAAAATTGTGATTTTTCTTCCAGCAAACAGTTGTTCTCTAAGGAAAGGTAGGGCCAGGAGAATTGTGCCGGAGGATTTGTTGCCCGAGTATGCCATGCCCGTGGGATACCTGTGTGCCGATTTCGTGGCAAAGGGTTTGCTGCGAGCAGACCTGGAATCTTGGCTGGGTTCAAAGAGAACCTGCTCATCCATGCGGCCAATGCGTCATTGTTCCGGGCCAAAATGCTAAGTGACCACTGGAATGAGGAGGAGACTGACCATTGCAAAGTGTAGCTTGTACTAGTTGCGGTTCCTGTCTGAAAAACTCGACTCTTCCAGAGGTGTCATGACTCCTCGGTCAATGACCCACCGGCCAGGGCATCCACCGGCCAGGTCGACCCGTAGCAATGGACATGTTTGGGGGCCATTGGGTACGCCCCGGGCGTACCCACCTTCGCCCGCATTGATCCTGATGTAACTCTTGGGATTCCCTTCTATTCCCGTCGACGGAGACACCGGGGACACCGGTCTCAAGGAACAGGGTGAAACTCACCGTTCTCATGTTCCGCCCAAAAAGAGAGCCATTAATTCATTCAAATCATCAGACTTTGCTACCCATGAAGGAACAAGTGCATCGCTACTAGGAGCAAGGGCCTTACTAGTAGTGACAAGGTTCGCTATTATCTAATTTACTTTTAACTTAATTCTAATAGCAAACATGGTTACTACTAGCGATGCACTTGTTACTAGAAACAAATGCATCGCTCCAGCAACTGCGCCTGTCCGACCCTCGACGCGTGGCGCCGAGGAGCCGATGACCTTGGCGCCGGGCCGCTGGCAGTGCACGTCAACGGACGTGGAGCGGCCGCTCGGTTTGGAGCGCTTCGGCCGCGAGGGCTTGGCATCCGACTTTCTTCGCGTTTGGGGTGGTTTTTGGGGTGGGAGGAAGCATCCGAACTGGTGTGTTGCTGGGGCAAAAAATCAGGGGTTCTGAAACGAGGTCATGTTGGTGTTTGTTTGGTTGTCAGACCATTGTTATGACTGAATCTAGGAACAACAATACCATTCATTGGAGGCCATCGCTTCTAGGTTAGAGGCCATCGCTGGTAGACTGGTAAGTCCCTTGAAGTCTTTTGCTTAGAGTTTTTTTTCAAGTTACTGCTCCCCTGGTCCCTCAATGTCCCTTGTCACCTCACCTGGTCCCTCACCCCTCCGAACCCAGGGAGGTGAACCGAAGTCCGGTCCGGCACTGGAGGCAAGGCGTTTCGTTTCTGAAAGCCCGGTCCGGCCCCACAAGTGATCAAAGACCTATAGGTTGTTCCTAGCAAAAGCATGGTGTTTCTATGAGAAGACCTGTTCTTTTGCTGGAAAAGGCTCCGGGTTTTTTTCCGAGTGACTTCAGGTCCTTCCTCCTTCCTCATCCATCCCCACGACCAAAGGAGGGTTTGGTTTCGCCGTGCCATCCGAACTCCTGCAGAAACGACGGACGGACGGTTTGGTTTAGGGGGGCTCGTCCCGCATTTATCTGAGGAGACGTCAGGGAAAGAACCAATTGGGAACAGTCTGGGTTTGCCGTTTTTTCCTTCCTGAGTGAAAGAGCTGGTTGGGCCAGGGGGTTTATGTCGCCGATGAAAGAAATGGTGGGCCAGGAATTCGTAGGGAAGAGTTCTTCCTCAATTCGCTATTCTCTCTCCTTCGTCCTGGGTTTTGATGTCATCAACGGCCGGAACCGAAACCACCCGAAATCCAAGTCAGGAATCGCCGGTGTGGTCTTAGTGTGATATCCAAGTAGAAACAAGGGCATCGCTTCGTTCGGAACAAGTGCATCGCTTCGTTCGTAACAAGTGCCTTACTAGTAGTAACAAGAAGCTACTAGTAACAAGTGCATCGCTACGTTCGTAACAAGTGCCTTACTAGTAGTAACAAGGTTCGCTAGTATAGAAACAATTCGTGTAGTATACCAGTAGAGCCGGTGGGTCGGAGGGTCTTAGGGTCTTATCACATCACGATTTGTTGGGATCTCGGCCTGCGACCGACCTGCATGCTGGATACACCCAACCTATACCCAGCACCCAACCGATCTCAGCCTATCTCAACTTCTCCAACTCTTCGCCAACTGAGGTTGTTGTACACCTGGAGCGTACGGCTTCGCCAGGCATATGACCTCACCCACCTCCCGACGCTCGAATTGGGCTAGTCCAGCTCAGACGGGAGGGAGGGTGACCCTACCAGGACCCGACATGGGCGGGGTGCCCTGGAATCGGAAGCCGAACGGCCGGATCCGTGTGGGGTAGTCCAGCCAGGACACCCCGGTCCAGGAGGGGAGGGTCCTGGAATATGTTAAACCTTTCTCCCTTTTTCTGTCTTGTTCTTTGTTTCTAATAGCGATGGCCTCCATCATCTCTGGGCAGGGAGGGACGGTGGAGGTTGATCGTTGTGGCCTCTTCACAAATGGATCTTCGTTGTGGCTGCAAAGAAAAGGCTTTAGTAGTAACAAGTGCATCGCTAGTAGTAACAAGTGCCTTACTAGTAGTAACCATTTTTGCTATTAGAAACAAAGAGAGCATTGACTGAGCTCGGCCAAAAACGAGCGTCGAGGAGCGGCAACGCGACGAGCAGACAGACACGTCGTTGGGATCCGCGGTCCGCATCGCAGACCGCTCTCCGATGTTTTGGGGGTTCCTTCCCGTTTCGCCGGTTGACGGGATATCTCTCCGGTTGGCGCGAACAAATAGATGGCCCCATCAAACATGAGCCTGTAATTTACCAAGCAAAGAAAAGGGTGGTGGTTTCGACCCATAAAGGGTAGTTCGTGTTTTTCACTGCTGTTAGCAGGTCAACCACTTTTTAACATCGGCCAGGTCAAAGGTCTGAGATTGGGGCTTTCTTTGCTTGGCTTTCCTTGGACGTCTTCTGTTTTGGTCAAAGAAAACGAGGCGGCTTGGAGCCTTTGGGGTCTTTCGAGAGAGTTTCAAAGAGCTGTCCTTCTCCGTGGTCCTGGAACCTAGTCCCGGGGAAGTCCTCAAAGACCTCTTTCAGCTGCTCGGCAGATGGTCCAACGTCGAGGGGCCGGCTGGAGGGGGGGGTTCGCACCTGGAGCGTCCTCCGGTGTGGAAAGAATGAGGAGGTGTTGTTTCGAAAGGTTGCCTTTTGGTGGCCTTTTTTGGAGGATCTTTTTGGAGATGGGGTATCAGGCTGAAGAACTGCCGCTCTCACAGGTATGGTGGGTTCTGACACGAAATAGGAACATCAATGATATTAATGATCATCAACTCTCCTTTGTTGAAAGCTTTGGAAGTCACCTCTACGTCTGGGGGGAACCTTGTCAACCATGTTTGCACGAGCACTTCTGTCTTCCCGAAATCAGCTTCTCGCGGACTCATTTCTCGGGCGTCGTTTCTGGAGTAAAGGAACCTAAAGAATGGTCTGAAGAACCTAATGACTAGCAATGGCCTCAGACCTAAGAGCGATGGCCTCAGACCTAAGGTACATTACTGGCGTCTGCTGGTATTTCTTCATGAAGCCTCTTGGCCGTTTACTGCGCGCCTGACCGCGGTCGCCGGAACCGTCGTCGGAACCATCGACGGCACGGACGATGCCGGAGCTGAAGACTCGGGACGACTGGGGGGGGACCAAAATGTCATGGACATGTTTGGACTTTCTGCCGAAGGAGCTCTGAGTTCGGGAATTCAGCCATGAGGTTGCAACTCCGGCAGAAGCTGCGTGACCACCCAAAAAGAGGGCTCCTCTGATGTCCTCTGTCCGAAATTCACACCGCTCGTGGGGTGGGCCTCTTGGCGCCTCGAATCAGCTCCCCGACGACCGCGTCCGACTGTCGAGGTCCGAAGACTTCGTCGCGCAGGTCGGCGTGGTCTTCCTGTGCCCCGGTTCCGCCGGTTCCGCCGGGCCGCGATCGGGGTGCGGTGCGGGGGCGCTGCGTCGCAGCACACCCGACCTACGTAGAAGTCCAGGAAAGAAGAGCAAAGTGGGACCGACAGAAGTTAAGGAGGGTCCTGAACTCGGGTCACCACTCGTCAGACTCTTTTTGATCGACTGGACTCGCAACTCGGGGCAGTACTGGACTCGCGGATTCCTGGGAGCCCTCCAAACAACCATCCGGTGAAGCTTGTCGAGGCGCGGTCAACGGAGGGTTTCCCTCCAGGGTCGTTGAAGCGCCGCGGCTGGGGTGGGATGGGTCACTTCTGTCCGCACTTTTGTCCCATATACGTCCCGTAGCATGCAATGGGATCGAAAGGAGCGAACCTCTTCCAAGAGAGGTGATATATGTGACGGTAAATAGGACCTATAGTTGATCGGAGTGTGGATCGTGTGGCATTTGAAGTCGACTCTTCCCGATCGAGTTCGAACTCGTCAGGATGTCCTTGGACTTCCATTCGACCGTTGGTGGGAATCCGAATGGGAATCAAAGAGATGGTGCTTGGAATCGGGTCTTCGGTAGACTCCCAGTCTGGACCTTCGGCCCTGACAGAAGCCTTTTGCTTCGAACCAACCGTCGAGACGGGGGTTCGTACACACGTCTCTCGGACTCGCTCCGTGGCGAGCCCAGGTTGTATTTGCTCTTCCACTGCCAAAGGGAGCAGCGATATGCCATCCCGGTCAACGTGGAGCGCCTCGCCGGGCCGGGCCGGGCCGGACACTTCGGCCGTGTGGCATCGAAAGATCGTTTCTGACCCCAGACACGAGCTGGTTGGGACTGCCAGGACTGCCGAGAAACGGCCAGGGGTGGTTTTGGGGATCAATGTAGGCATTTATGGCATGGAGTGTTTGGGTACTATAGTAGCGATGCCCGTCTTGTGACGCGCGTCCTTGTTCCTAGTAGGAAGACCAGGAGCGCCCCGTTCGTAGCGTCCGGCCGCTCCTAGAATCAAGACTTTGGCGCGGGATGGGTGGGAGCTGGCTTGATATGAAGATCTGGTGCAAGTCCAAACGGAGTTGATCATGCTGAGCAGTTGGTGACTCTGGATTCGTAGGCCCCAGCCAAGACCGGAGGGTGGGTGTTCTTTTTTAATGATACGGCGACCACCGAGATCTACACAGGTCCTATCCCAGACACTCCATGAGACTGCCATATATGCCTACATTGACCCCTCAAACCACCCCTGGCCTGATCGGCAGTCCTATGGCAGTCCCATGGGTCGCGTCTGGGTATGCTCATAAAATGCATGTCAATGGTTGATCTTTTCCGGAAGAGCTCCCGGACTGACACGTATCACGGCCTCGGTGGACAGACAGGATTCCCGATGAAGAACCCGCTCATGGCTCTAAGACCGCCTGCTGTGTGGGGCCGAACGCGCGAAGCGGCGCCACCGCCGGCTTCGTTTTCTGCGCGGCGTTTTGAGGATCTTGGAGAAGGTCCACGTGGTCCGCAAGCGCTGTATGTCCGAGCAAATCTTGTTGGAGTTCCCCGCGGCGCTGCGCTACCTGGTGCAGGAGCAGGCGTTGTCGGTGGGTGCCTCGGAAAAGAAAGGGAGTGGTGGAGTGATGGAAGGGTTTTTGGGGGTGAAAAGTCTGTGACTGTGGTTTCATGTCTGTAAGAAGCTACTAGTAACAAAGGGCATCGCTACTAGTAGCAAGAAGCTACTAGTAGCGATGCCTGGTTTCTAGGTTGGGCCCTGAAGTCACAAAGTCCAATCGGCAAGCTCCAAGTTCTACCACCCTTCGGTTGCTTGTTACATTGCTAACGATCCATGTTCGATCAAGTCAGTTAGGGAGCACCAGAAATGAGCAGCTGTAAAAAGGCAATGGCTGTAGGTTGTTAGGTCAATGGCTGAAGACCACTGACCACTACGCCGTTTGAAGAAAACAGGGAATGGCAAGGGGGTGGACAGTCGAAGGACCCTTTTCGCCTCGGAACCGTCTCTGTCGCCAAAGGGTGAGACGAATGGCAAACGGTGCCAGAAGAACTGTGGGAGAAGTTCGTGAAGGAACATGAAGAGGGTGGGCTTAGCAGAGGGCTTAGGTCACAGATAGCGAGAATGTCAAGATGAGGCTGGAAAGAGTACTAGGAACAAGAAGCTACGAATGTAGCTCCTGGCATCGCTACTAGGAACCCGGGCATCGCTACTAGGAGCAAGGACACAGTTCTTGGGCGAAGGACACACTGCCGATCCTACGACATACATGTCAGGACATCAAGGCTCGCCGTCCTTCCATGCCTCAAACCTCTTCAATCCCTAGGGCTCCAACCAGCTCCTGAGAAGATGGTTGGGGTGGGTTTGGGGGGTCTAACAACCTTCTGAGGATATGGTTGGAGCCCTAGGGAATTTAGAGAAAAAATACCGGTCCCATCATGTCCCACAGTCACCTCACCCATTTGCACCCCTCCAGTCCCATCGTGACCGCTTGCGAGTGCCCCGCGTCACGTGTTCCAGCCGCCGAGCTACCACAGGCCTTCGCGCGAGCTACCGCAACCTCTTCTTCGACAAGTACGGCCACCTCCTGGAGCGCAAGGCCTTGGCCTCGGCCCACGGCCGCGGCCGCGCGGAGCGCGGCGCGACGCACGAGACGCCGCTGCCGGACACCAGAGCTTGGCATCGGATGAAGGCGAAGGAGATGCTCGGCGAGCGGGATGTCCAGGTCACCAGAGGTGGCCGAAGTGGAGAAAGTGGCGCTTTTTTGATGAGCACGAAGAGTCCGCAGATTCGACGAATCTATTCTCGCTTTTCGTGGGTGGAAGAAGTGGTCGAACAAGAGGACTTGTGACCTGCTAGTTTGCATGGTCAACCGTTGCAGCCTGTTTTGACTTGTTGGGCACCGTGAGAAACTCGTTCAGGCATGCGACTCTCCAAGTGAGAGAACAGTCTCTCGTCATGAAGCGCGTCAACCCACGGAAGATCCTCCCCAAACACCGAAGGTCACCCGAACGCATCCTCCAACAGGTCACCCGAGCAGCGCAGCGGCGCGGTTCGGCCGGGCGTCGGTGGCGCCTCAGGAAGCCGGTGGAGGTCCACATTCCCGCGCCGCCCGATGTCTCCCACCTGGCGCCACGGTGGCGGTCGGGGGGTGAGCTGGAGGCTGGAGGTGAGCTGGAGGAAATGGAATGTGAAAGGAAACATTTCAGCCAAAGTCAAGACGATTTGTTGATGGGGGAGAACTGGGAGAACGTGTAATGAAACATCACAATTAGCTCGGTATGGACATGTCTCTCTAGACTTCCCAAAAGAACGAAGCGAAAAAGCCACCCAATTGAGCCCTCCGCATCCATCAGCCCTCAAGGTTGCTGAACCGCTCTCTCTGCTCCGCCCCAAGGAAGCCCAGCTGAAGAGCTACGAAGACCTCCGAGACGGCGCCAGCGGCGCCGGGGAGGTCGACCGGAGCCTCAGCCAGCGGATGAAGCGTTTGGCGGAGGTCAGATCCGGAATCGAAACAGCTCCGGTTGGAGAACAGAGAGGACCCAATGAATTGGAGAGGACCCGTTGGGATTCCAAGATATTCCAAGCGCTGATCTGATTTGATGTCATCGCCTGGATCCTGAACAACCTTTGATTCTTGGACAGATCTACCAGCTGCTTCCGAACTTGATGCTGTCTCCCATTTGCAGACCCCCATTGTCAGCTTGTCAGATGTCCCTCAAAAAGCGTTCTTGGTGACGTACTCGACTGAAGCGGACTCTTTGGATTGGAAGCATGTTGGGATCAACAAGAACGCCGCCGTGCGCTCCGGCGGAACCGCGCCAGGCGTCCGCGGTCTTTGAGAAGTCCGTGCCAGTGCCGACAGAGGACCTCGAGCACGAAGCCAAGGTGGGCTTGGGATGGGCGGATCCGCAAGCGACTGAAGCAACCGATGGCCTTTCACATCCTTGGTTGGATGATGTTGGATAGAGGGAAGAAGAACCAAGTGAACAGCCAATATGGTATCGATTCCAGATCTATTCCAGATGTACTGTATGACATATTTAGATACATTGACCCCATTTCAAGCACCCCGATGAAGGTCAAAGGTGCCAGTCCCATGGAGTGTTTGGGTATGGGTATCTGGTACCAGGCAGAGGATCCCCTCCATTTTTCCCATACATCACTGTCAGCGACTGCAGACCATCGGCCGCACCAGCGACGGCGATCGCCACACGTGGCCAGGTCATCCCGGACCTCATTTCAAAAGAGTCCGGTCATGCAAAACCGATCAGGACTGGACCAGCTTTGGGTCTGGACCAGCTTAGGGTGGTCCTTCTCACCCCCCCGCGCCCGCGTAGGGTCTGGTACGGTGCGAAGCGAACACGACCACGAGCCACGAGCCATGCGTCGACCCATCAAGGCGCCATGGGTCGTGCGGTGTTCCATCGCTTGTTTCAGACCCTGACCAAGGCGCCGGTGCCGAAGCAACGGCGGCTGAAGCGGCGGCGCGTCTTTGAGGACTCGGAGGATGAAGTGGAGGTGCCCAAAGCGCTCCTCGGATGGTCGTGACAAGGGTCGTGCTCCCGCCGAGAGGGATTTCGCTCCAAGGGATGGGAAAGAAATGTAAAGGATGGGACCGGCTGAAGTAAAGGAAGTTCCCTTTTAGGTCCCCGTTCGTCAGACCATTCTTTTTATAGTCGTTGACTCCCAGGGAAGACACATCCTCCAAAACCACCGGACGCTCCGTCCGTCTCCCTTTGGGCGCTGCAAAAACGACCGACCCGGACGGTCGTTTTTGCAGACCCGGGGGGGGGGGGCTTTTCCGGTGAAGGGCTCCAAGGAACTGCGGAAGGAGATGAGAAGGAGATGGGGGAGAAGAAGGAGTCTTCTACTTGACAAGGGTTCATTCCTCCAACTTGTTCATAGATCGTAGATCAACACAACGGCAGCACAAGAAACAGAGGAAGGGTCAATTTGAAGTGTCCCAACCGGGCATGGGCTTTCCCGTCGCTGCAATGGTCTAAGGAATTTGCTCCTTCCTTTGAGCCCCAAAAGAATCTATCTCTCCAGCGTCAATTTGGGATCTCTTAACATGTTTTAACATCTACCAGCACCCTCCAACAGGTTTTTTCTGGTACCCTCCGACACTAACATGGAAGTGGAAAACCACCTGTTGGTAAAGGAAAATGGTCTTCCAGCTGCCCAATTTCGATTCAATTCCTCTTCCAGGTGGCGAACATCGTCAGAGTGTAGCTAGAAATGCGGGGTGTTTTGGTACAATCATTATGTAGGTGATTCCCCTTGTTACGTTCGTAGCTTCTTGTTCCTAATAGCTTCTTGCTCCTAGTAGTAAGGCCAGGAGCCCTATTCGTAGCGTCCTTGCTTCTAATGCCAGGAGCTACCTAATAGCGTCCGATCGCTACGTTCGGTCTGCGATGCCCGTCTTGTTCCGTTCGCTTCTTGTGCCCTTCGCTCCCGCCCTTCGCTCTCAGCCGAGGGTTCCCGTCATGGAGCTTCGCCAGGCGATGAAACGTCGGAGTCGGCGGGGTTCCGAACTTGTTACTAGTAGTACGGCCAGGAGCCCCGTTCGTAGCGTCCTTGTTGTTCCATCGATCTGTTGCCTTTTCAGCTCTATTTGGGATACAGTGGAGGAATGGTCAGGGGATAGGGAGACCGAAGCACTCACCCTTCCCGCTTCCCCAATGGAAAGGCCTTCGTCTCGTCCGGTCCAGTCCTGAACCGTCGGAGCGGTCCTTCCACGGTCTTCGTCGGCTTCTTTCGCCTTCCCGCGTCGAGTCTCCCCACGTCGCCGACCTGGTTTCAAAAAAACAACCGGTGAACGACCTGGGCCGTTCTGGTTTCCAGACCACCTCCGAACCGCCAGGGTCACGACCCTTCGCACCGCACCGTTCGAGCTGGACTACCAGCGTTCGGGTCGGGTCGGGTCTGGTCCGTTCGAGCTGGACGACGATCTGTACGACGATCTGTATGTTGGCTCGGGTGCTGACCGGGTGACCTGGGTGCTGACCTGGGTTTGATCAGAATGTGGATGTTCTCCGAATTTCTATGTCTTGGTCAGCGGTGTGGTTCTGGTCCCGCAGTCACATGCGAATGAGCCCGCATGGTGATGAGGGCCATTTCGTATTGGTATGTTGCGGCACATCTTGGAGCAGAGTCGAAGAGCCGCTGATTGACGTGGCCGTTCTTTCCAGATGGTCCACTTCTGGCACTTCGGTGTCCACCCACACCGAAACCAAAGCTTCACCCGAACTGACCATTCCAACTGAACTGACGGTCCGAAAGACCGTGACACATCGGCCGCGGCCTGCACCTCCACGGCCGCCCCGCACCTCCACCGGGTCTCCGGAGAGACCGGGTGTCGTCAGGAGGGTCCTCCCGGTGAGGAAGCCTTTCGACAAGTCCGGGTCACGTCGCCCGAGCTCCAAAACTCTCGCGCCTTGGGCTGGTCTTGGCCGTCGGTCGGTCGAACTCGGTCAGTTCGAGGAACAAGAAGAATAGCCGAGCCTGTGAGTAGGCGGTATTGCTTATGGCTTATGTATGTCAGAAGGTGTACTGCTTATTATGTACTAATTGCTTTTGCTTATATGCATTGTATTGCATTGTATGTTTTTTTGGGGGGGATGAAATGTCCCATGAGCCACTGACTGTAAGGCTTTGGTTTTGGGGGCTTTCTTGGGTTGAATAAGTCTTGCTCTGGTGATCTTGGAGTCTTTCTTGGAAGCCGCAGAACATGCTCCTGTCGTTCGCCCTTAATCCACGGGGTGCTTTTAGAAGCCACACAGATCTATCGAATACATGGAGAAGCCACTTCCGAGCGCCGAGCGCCGTGAAGCGTTTTTGGGCGCCGCATAGGATGTGTCTTCGTACAACCAGTGTCTCTTGTACGGAGGAGCCCCAGTTTCAAGAGAGATCCAGCAGTACACGTTGCAGTATTGCAAACAAAACCCTCCGTCGTCCTCCAAGTCAGTGTGATCCACGTGTCAAGTTGCACGGATGTAATCAGTTTGTCAAACTGCAGTTTGACACCTTGACCGGGTGGTGGTTTCAGACATGTGTTGTTTATCAACCTTTACTTGAGATGGTGTTCACCCACTGACGAAGATATATCTCCCAGACACGACCTGTCTGGGACTGCCAGGACGGACTGCCTTCAAGTTCCGGCCAGGAGTATAACTGGGGAATCAGTTGGGGGGCGGCAGGCCAGACCAGAGTCCCAGACAGGTCGTGTCTGGGTCTGTTTCCTTCGGTGTCAAACCAGTTCATGGGATCGGTCCGTGTCCGGACTGAGGGGTCTTGGGGCTGGATGCCGCGGTGCAGCAGGGCACGGCGGATCAACTGCTGAAGCAGGTGGAGGAGGAAATGAGGAAAAGCACCTGGAAGAGGAAATGAGGTTGGAGGCCATCGCTAGTAGGTTGGAGGCGCTAGCGTATGGGGTTGAAGTCCGTGCGGGTGGGACAGGGGTACGGATGGTACACGGACGGTACGAGTGCGGTGCAAAGCCATCCTGGCAGGGCAGGGGGGGTGCCAGTCGCGCAGCCAATGAGCCGCGCGCAGCTCATTGGCGCAAGGCACTGTGGACATGGTCCGCAGTCGTTGGTTTCACCTGGTTACACTTGTGAGTTAAAGCTCCCATTTTGAGGTATGGGATATCATTTCTTTTGAGAGAACCTTTCTTTTACCCAGCAAAACACACTGGCGTGCCGTTTTCGTTTTCGGGGCCAAGTGGCGTGGCGTGACCGGATGACCGACGACGTCGCAACGTCGCCAGGAGCGTCCGATCGCTCCGTTCGCTCTGCGATGCCCGTCTTGTTCCGTTCGGTTTTTGCGTCCTTCTCGCCTCCGGAGAGTAGTGGAGGCCAGGAGCCCCTATATAGTTGGAACATGGGTCTGTGTTGGATCTGAACTGCACGTTGGATCTGAACTTCACGTCAAGTCCCAAGAGCCAAGAGCCTCAGTCTGCTCTTCCGCCTCGTCTTCGCCGTGTTCTCAGGTACCTTCGCGGCCTGGGATGAGACCTTTGCGCGGCCCAGCCGCGCTTCTGCGGACCAGGCGAAGGCGGAGACGATGCCGGAGGAGAAGGAGGAGCTGCCAGAGCTGCAGCCGGTGGCCTGGATGCCAAAGGCGAAAATCAGGAACTGTTTTTGGGGGGCATGACATGGCATGACCATGGCTTGGGGTGGTGTTTCGACCGGTTGGTGTGTTGACCAGTTCGAAACTCCACCTGAATGTTCTGAATTTCGGAGATGGATTGAGTCTTCAGTCTAATTTGGTACTGGGTGCGGGTCGTACCTGGAGACTGGAGAATACAATGTCAGTTACAATGTCATATGTCGAAGATCAATGCGATATCCACTTTCATGGCTTGTAAGGCTTGTAACCCCTCCAAAGTTCGCCTGCACCAAGCGCTCTCGCCCAGATCAAGCTGCCTGACCCGCCTGCGGCGCCTCCTGCGGCGCGGAAGCACCAGGATGAACGTGGAGAGACCTGTTTGGGACTCCCATAGGCCTGCCGCCCAAACCAACCACCCCTGGCCGGAACTCTCGGCGGCAGTCCGTCCTGGTAGTCCCAAACAGCTCGTGTATGGGTTTTGTGTGTCTTCAGTGCGGAATCGACACTCACTTTTGACCTGACAACCAGAAAATCGAGGAACTACAAGCTCAGTGTGTGGTTCTTTTTTCACCGTCCGCGCCCAGACGCCCCATGGCGTGCCCTTTTGGAGTTCCTTTTCTCCATGCTGGATGAGGAAGGATCTGGACATTTAACTAGGAGCAAAGGACGCTACGAACGGGGCTCCTGGCCGGTCCTACGAACTGGCCGCAATGTTCGCTACGTTCGGGAAAGGCTCCGTTCGGGGCGAGAACATCGCGCTAACGCAAACGGAGCAAAGGACGCTACCGGCTACCAGCTCGTTTGCGCAGGTTCTTGCCCTTTTTGTTACTAATAGCAAACAACTACTAGTAAGGCACCTGTTACTACTAGCGTGGCACTGTGTGGGAATGTCTGGAGCTCTATGTCTGCCCGTCTGGGGCGGTGAACCAATTTGTTCACGTCGGTTCCTTCGCTGTTTGGGACGTCGGGGGTCCGAAACGCCTCGTTCGTCCGGCATGGCACTATGTGCTCCGTCCACGTCAACGTGGGCTCAGGAGCGGACGGACCGACCGGCCTTTGATGTACGAGGAGATGGAGATGTCCGCCGACGAATGCGCGCGGAAAAAAAAGAGAGAGCGGAGGGGCTGCTTGGGTGTTTGAACGGACGGGGTTGCTTGGTTCTGGTCCTTGGTGGAGGGGGTCCTTGCTCCTGGTGACCATCATGCTTCCCTACGTTTGTCGAAGACGGATTGGTTTGGAGAAGACGGATGCAGTATGGGACTTACACCTGGGCGCCTGCTGGGCCGGCGGAGGTGTGAATTCAACGAAGCCTTCGCAGCTGGCTGCACCGGTCGTGTAAGCAGGAAGCCGGGTGTGTTGGTGTGTTGCTCAAAGATACTGCCCAACAAGACAGGCTGCATTCCCTTGTTCCTAGTAGCTTCTTGTTACTAGTAGTACAGCCAGGAGCCCCTAGTAGCGTCCTTGCTCCTAGTAGCGATGCCAGGAGCCCCTAGAAGCTTCTTGTTCCTAGTAGCATTCCCTCATTCACCCTATGTTTCTTTCAGAGAATCGAATGCCGAGCTGAAGAGATCGTTTCGATGTTGAGAACGACTTGAATGTCCAACCATGCCTTGTCCCACCCAGAGAACGGATCCTGACACGTCCGGACGGATTGTCACCCTTCCGTCGCAGGATGATGGCACCATCGAGGAGCATGTGCATCCCGATCGTTTGCGGTTGAAAAAGGACCGTGGACAAACCAAGAGAGGTGATAGATGTGACCGGGACCATAGGACCTGTCACCTGGGGTACCCAACTGGGATAGGCGAATGTTCGGGTCCTGACACACCTTTGTTGGAGTGCGGGCTGTTTTGGGAGGTCGCTGGCTGGATGTCATGTGTCGTGCGCACCATGCAATGGAGGGGCTGCGGCAGCGTCAGGGGCACCAGCAGGAAAAGGCGAAAAGAGTCCACTGAAACATCTAAGGGATGTTGAGGTCGTGGCCCACAAATTATTTCATAACCGGTACAGAAACCCAAACCAGACCAGCTGCTTTACTAAGGGTTTTGCACTTGAAAAGCAGACGTTTTCAACATGGAGGCCAGCTGACGTCACTTAGCCTGCACCGCCTCCGCAGGTGACCTCTGGCCTCTTCCAGAGGCCCCGTTCGGCCCGTTCGGCTCCGCTCCCCGTCAATGGCCGGGTGTGCGTTCGGCCGGGTGTGTCGTGGGTGGTGGGGGCCACACGTGGCAGCTGGCCATGTGGCAGGTCACCGGGTCCATCCGGTCTCGAAAAGCGACGTCGACCCTCGGTGCGTTGTTCGGTGCTTTCGGTTCACCGGTCGCGTGGGTCGGATCCGGCTGGGTCGGTCGGTTCGGGTGGGTCGAGTCGTTTTCTTCCACACCTTCAGGTCGTCGTGTGATTCGGTCGTCCCACGGTGCACCATTTCAGATCTCCAGTCGTTGTCCAGACGCACAATGAGTACTGAGGGATCACCCGACGGGAGACATGGCGTTTTGGGCGACGCATGGGCGGCAAGCCCAAGTTGAAGCCAGATTCTGTGGGACACATGGGGGAGAAGAAACGCTTTCTGACGGTTTCTGATGGTTTTTTGGGCTACTCATTGGTGGAAGATCTACACTGGAAGTGGAAAATGGTCCCTTGGAAAACAATGTTCCTCTACAAAGAGAGGGGTGCTCCACTTTCCATGACTATTTCAGGGCGTGTAAGCATCCAAGCATCGCTGACTGTCAGGAACGCTTTGGCCATGAGAAGCCCCAGAGGCCAGAAGGCAGGGCTTTACAGATGCAGAGGATGGCTTGACGGGTCACGGAGTGGCTGTGGTGGTTCTTTTTTGAGCTTTGGCTCCTGCCACCATCGATTGGAGCTTTGGCTCCTGAAAGACTGATCATCCATTTCGATGGGATTTCGATATGTGTCTTGTGTTTTTCTCGGAGCTTGGACAAGCCCACGACCTTGGGGGCTTCGTCCACCTTTCCAGTTGGGATCTCCGATCCACTGCGATCGGGTTGCCCAGGGGTGTCACTTGGTAGGTCGACCGGACGTGCCACGCCACGCAGTGGGAGCTCTTCAAAGGTCTGCGATGATCGCCGCGCCCACAAAGAACAACACGTGAGGATCTGAAACTCAACAAGCCGGTCATACCTTTTCCTTTGCTGTGCTTGTTCTCCTTTTCTTCACAACTCAACTGGGGTGTTGAGCTGCTAGGGCTTGGTCACGTTATGTGGTGAGCAGCTTGCAGTTGCCTCGGAGGCACACGAGGCAGAGAAACAAGCAGGTCGAGAAAGAAACCTGCCCGACTTGTATGAGGGGCAGGATGTGCCTCTCGCACTACCGGCAGCTTGTCACCAGACTCTTCCTTTTTGTCACCACCAGTGGCCCGGGACGCAGGCCCGAAGACTGCCACACAGCGGCAGAGGAGCTTCAATCCGGCAAAACGCAGTTGCGATGCAAGACCAGGACCATCCAACAGGTCTCCTGTTGGTGGCTTTTGCAGACTGACTTCAACGTCGCAGGTGGTGACCTGTGAAGTCGGTCGGGTGCTGGTATTGGATGGTCCTCGAAGGATTCCAAGGGCCCATCGAAGACGAGACATCAAGTAATTTGCACCAACAAAAGCTTGGCCATCGCTATGAAGTCGGGAGTTCGGGACATAAACTACCGACATTAAACCAGCAATAAAAGAAGCAGTTCGATGAATGGTTTGATTTGCTCTAGGTAAAGAGGGCTGAAGAACAATTTGATTCTCACCACAAGAGAAAACCCTGGTGACCACGAACCCCGCAAACCTCCATTTGCCACAAGAGGGGAAACAACAAGAACCATCAATGTCTTCATAAGCAGAAATGCATCTCCACTCAGAAATGCATGCCACCGAGGTCTTAGCCAAAAGCTCACAGCCCCGGAGTGTTGATTCAAACAAAGCAAAATACACTGGAATGCTTGGGCAAGATACCTCGAAAGTCTCCGTTCAGTGAGCCACCTTCGGACCGCCTCAGTTGCACAACACTTCCAAAAGTCTATGATGAATCAAGTCAGGTCCATCACACAAGGGGCATTTGGCCAACCAGGGCGTGAATGTGCAGACATCGTTCGTGACCAACGCACCAGCTCTGAGGTGTTCATACAAACTAACATGCTTGGGATTGAGTGTTGCAACGTGTTCATCAAAGGTCTCGGAAGGTAAACCCTTAAAGAACGTGAACGCCGATTGCCGGCGACGACATGGCGCCGTTCACATCCAAACAACACGATCCGACAGAAAGTGTGCAGCATATCACAGGTGTATCCTGCAGGATGCTTCAACCGAGCTCTCCATGGTAAAACCTAATGTGCTCAAGGCTTCCTTTGACAGTAAGCTGTTTGGGGAAAAAGGTGTTCTTCTTGGATTAAGACATTCATCCATGGGTTCACGAGATAAGAGCTGGCGTCGAGGGAAACCAGCTTTGAACGGAATTCGGCTAGTCGCTCACTTGAAGATGTGAAAAAAGAAAAGATGGGACGATATATGTTGTATGTCATGAAAATGGAGTTCGAACCGCTGGGGGGGGTGGGTCACTGGAGCAATTGTGCAATCCTGGTTGATGGACAAAATCCTGCATCAATAAAGCAACGCATGTGGTCCTCCAAAAAGTCGCGCAGATCAGCGTGCACCCCAACTCAATGTTGTCTCACGTTTGTTGTGTGTGATGCAGGATTTTGGTCATTACTATTTTTCTGTTTGAAGTATTTCCTCAACTCCATGTCAAAGAGGGAGCACGAGGGTATACATGGGTTTGTTCTTCCAGTGGTGCAGGATTTGCTCCATCAACCGTATGACATCTTGCCCGCTTTTTCTCCTTTTTTGGTGCAGAAACCGGGCCAGTCCTGGGGCCCCTCACTTTGAACAACTACACCCCCATTCACGAAGAAGGCCACCCCGACCTCGCTGCCAGCGGTCGTTCGCACCGCCCCGCCAGGCCGGAGATGCGGCGAAGCGGAAGGAGGCGGCCGAATAAGAGCCGGAACGATTGGCCCAAAAAAGAGGGGGGTTCTTTGGGGGGGGGTCAAAAACCTAAAGTCATGTCACAAAAAGCTTCTGAAAAGAAACGCAGCGGAAACCGCCGCAAGTGTATGCAAGTTTCTGTATGTTTTTTCTGGCTCCCCATTGAAAGGAATGTGTAACCGCGACGGCTGTTCCGATGAATGTGGAGCGATGCGGTTCCCTTGGCAACCCCCTGCCCGGCTGGGTGGTTTCAAGACCATCTACAGCCTTTCCACGAAAGCCTTGGGCAGGGCAGTTTTAAAACAAAGAATCACAAAAGGACTCACTGCGCTTTCACGTTGGACTTCGCGGCTTTGACGGACCGTCGCTCGTTCTTTCCAGGTCGTGATGCTTTTTGGCCACCTGGAGCAGGCCGCCTCTGCCGCGGAAGCCCAGTGAGCCGTCCGGTTGGCGACCAGCGGTTCGTTGGATGGATGGCGTCATGTCTTGGACCTATATGGCGTCTACGTCAGGTCTTCGGTTGGCTGGAAGGAGCTGATAAACCTGGCCTGCCTGGGAGGAGGTTTGACGTGGACACGAAGCACAACGCCACGCGATAGCCGCCGCTAGGCCGACGGGGGAACAGTGATATGGTTCCAGTGATCTTCGTGGTGCAGAGCGGTCGTGAAGCCGTTCCGCGAGGAAGTTCAGTGAGGAAATGGGGTGTTGGTGCCGTTGGTGCTTCACCTTTAGGAGTTGGAGACCGGTCATCCAGCGGTCGGTCCGGCCCTGACTCACGGTGCCAATGGGAGTCTCGGCTTACCGGCATCCAGCACAACCCCGTTCGTTCGCTCCGTTCGTAGCGATGCCGTTTGTTCCTAGTAGCGTCCTTTGCTCCTATAGTAGTACGGCCACAAGCCCCTGGTAGCGTCCTATCGCTCCGTTCGTTTGACAAAGGGTCTGGCTCACTGACCGCCGCTCGTCTTCTCGACGCCAGTCATGTGCAGGAACAGCCGCCTGCACACCTGACAGGCGACGTCTTCCTCCGCGCAGTTCAGCCAGCGAAGCACGCCGAAGCATGTTCTTGAACCTCGCCCGAGGCATGTTGCTTGAGAGGAAAGGTGTGGAGCGAAGCAAGGAACGGCCCATGTCAAGTGCCCTAGATACCAACACAAACTGAGGAAAAAACAGAATCGACAACTCTGGAAATGCTCCAAAAGATCTCGACAGAAAGAGAAAACCTATACGTATTCACTCGGCCTTCACTGACGTTGCCTAACTAAGCACTCACCAAAGAAGACGTGAAAGCACCATGAACCTGTGGTTTTTGCCCAAGCCAAAGCAGTTTACTCTTGGCTTCTGGCCGATCCTCCCAGAACGATCGCCGAGCTGAGAGGCGTTTCCGCGGAGCGAGGAGCTTCGAGAGCCAGTCGTCCTTGCCGTAAGGGAAAAAGAAACACCAAACCCAGACACGACGACGGACGGCCTTCAAAACGGCCGATCGGGGTGATTGACTGGGGGTCTGTCTGGGGCGGCCAGGGGGGGTGTCAATGGGACGCAGTGGCAATGGAGTCATCCCTGAGCCGGTGCCGGTCACAATGCGGCCACGAAGGGCCCAAACGGAAAGCTCATCGGTCGAGAAAGCGGTACGATGGCCACAGCCCGCGCTGGGCGCCCTTTCTTCACCCGCGCTGGGCCGGTCTGCAATCGTCCCAGACCAGCTCCAAAGCAGCGGTCGGTGGGACCAAGCCTCGGGACCGAGGTGCGATCCTGCCCTCATGATCTGGGACCTATGGAATAGTGTTGCCCTTCTCGGTCCTTCAACCTCTGTTGGTATTCCGTACCGGCGAAACCAAACTCCGGGGGGACGAGATGAAAGCCAGGAAAGATTCGCCACGAGGAGGAAGGATGCGACGGTGAGTTGTGGAGGGTTTGCAGCAGGTCTGCTTCTGTTGCAAGGTCATGCAACTTCGGTTGCATGCTTCTGCATCTGAAGCTTTCACAAGGCGGAACTTCACCTCCAAAAAGGAGCCTCGAGCGATGTCTAGATCAGCCGAGGAGAAAAACCCAAGCCGAAGGGCAACAACATGCATGCAACAGCTAGATCAGCCTGACGATTTTGGTCCGATGGTGACTCGAGAGGGACAAGCGCACCAAAAGCCCATGCAAGCACCGCCAAGCGCCGGCGTTGGATCCATCGGTGTGCAGCCCTCTGAGCTGCTCGACCAGATGGCCAAAGCCATGAGGGCCAAAGCTGAAAACAAAACCAGGTGAAGCTCCAGCCACATAGAGCTCATAGACTTGCTCAAGCTTTGTAGGTTTCCAGCCTTGGTATGTTTTGAATCCGTTTCCCGAGGCGGGTGAGGGGCGTTTGGCCTACGAACTCTACTTGCGGCTTCTGGAGGCAACTGCGGCGACCGGGATTTTGGGGGCAAAAGTGGCGTGCATGACGAGTGCTCGGCGCATTCGGTGGGGGCACCCGGATGTCAAAACCTAAAGGTTCGGGATAGAAGGCCACTGAAATTGTATGGAATTGCTGTTCTGAAAACACATTTATCAAGAAATGTCAAGGGTCCAGTCATGTCTGAGGCCATACTAGAATAATCGAAACCATCTCGTCCCAAAACCCCAAGACGTGCAGCTCAAGAGGGCGCTCCTTTGAGGCGGATCCCAACTTCACGACGCCGGCCTTGGACCCCACCATGCCGTGGTGCGGGGCCTCGGTCGATGAAGCGGCTCGGTGCGGTGGCGGAACGATGGCTCGGTGAGCCGGCGTTTCTAGGGCGCCACACACGTGCAGTTCCGAAGCTTGGTGTTTTCTGCAAAACGACGCTATTAGGTTGGCCTCCCATCGCGACTAGTAACAAGAAGCTACTAAACTGTGGGAAGAACATGGAAGAATTGGATGGCCGACGGTGCAGCTGCGGTCTTTTTTGACGTGGAAAACTGCACCGGGTGGGTTTTCAACACGGATAACATCAAGCCGTCGCACATCAAGCACGACCAAAGGATACCATCCATCACAGCTGAGTGAGTGAGAGAGAGAGAGTGTGTGAGTGTGAGAGAGAGAGAGAGATCATGTTCCGTCCCTCTTTGGTGATGCCTAGTGACCAATACTTGGGGATTGGATGACAGCACCAAGCAATACATTACACTGAGAGAAGAGTGGTTTGCTCCAGACGTGGACTTGTGAAAAGCTGTTTCTTCCAAAGTCGGAAGTGCGAGAACCACGGAGACTCGGCGAGACCCCTTCTTTTTGGCTGGGTCTATGCTTTCAGCGTAACAAATTTTGCTGAGACACACCCTATGTTTGGATGTCCTTTGATGCATAATTCATCCGGTCGGCCTCTGACACAGCATCCGGATCGCAGGAAGGCTTGCCAAGTGCTGGAGAACCAAGCGGAGATGAGGACCCAGTGGTTTCGAAGGGTCTACCCCAGTCCATCTCCGTCCGCATCCACCAAGCAATTGTTCTGATCGGTGAACGTCAAGGTGTCGGGCTAGGAGGCGGTGTGATTTGCGATTCTGGTTCTTCACTTCGATTTCGAACGGAACGCGTGTCTAAAATGTCAGCTGGGGAGGGCAGTTCACCTCTTGCTCTTGCGTGCTGATGATAGTGTCTCCCCACCCACCCCGTGCGTCCAATCCCGTGCTTTTTCAGCAAGAAGCACTAGGAGCGTTCAGACGCTTCGAACGTAGCTCCTGGCCTTACTACTCGTAACAAGAAGATACGAACGGAACAACTAGGAGCGTTCGGGCGCTACTACCGCGTGAGCAAATTGTTTAGAGGCTTCAGGAGATCTGCGGGGGGCCATTTGGCCCATCGCACCTCTAACAGGGCCCATTGAGCTCACCGAAGGCGGCTGCGCCAACTGAAGCTGGGGTCGAGTGGGCATTTGCATCTTCGCGACATTGACAAATAGTGGGGTGGGGTGTGTTATGTGACAACAGAAAAAGCGGGCCTAATTGGCGCAGCTCCAGAAAGAGGCGCTTGCTACTGTTCATCCCAGATTCACCAAACAATGCTACGGATTGGCCCGACCAATGCGTGTTCATACTCACCAACAGGAGCGGGCAAGCTAGTCGGCCTGTCATGCCTGCCTGACGATTTCCGAGGAGACACGCAGGACCAAGACTTCCTCGCTGCCCGATGCAAGTTCATGTATCCTCACACACCCTTGAGGACAGCAAAGGACCTGTGCTACACATTCAACGGACCAAAGCTACACGTGACGGGCTGCATCGTCCGTGTGGACTTGCGCTGGCAATGATCGTTTCCCATCACGACCACCCAAAGGATTCGTACCTGATGGCAGAAATGTTTGCGATCGTGCTCACACGAATGGTTGGCACGGGCATTGACTTAAAACGCATCCACTTTCACAACAGAACTAAAGAACTCAACAGCGATGCGCTTTCTCCCAGAAACCACCCACATCCTAGGGTCCGCTTCGTCAACACCTACGAACAGGTCACAGCTATGCAGACATAGACCAAGCATTTGGATCATTGGCTTCACATATAGTGCAACAATGCACGTGTGCAGAGACCCCTGGCGGATTTTCACAGAGTGCAACAGCCGACTCTGCTCGCCCACACGAGCGGGAATGGGACATAATGGGACTTCAGATTGAGCACCGGGATTGGTTCCTGGACTTCTCACTGACGTTAGGTTGTGTGATTTGTTCGGTAAATATTGAAAAGTGACAGAAGTGTTTACTCAAGTGTGGAACTGGAGAAGTGTCTCCTCAAATACCGTGTCCTTTTTGGGAGGCCGCTATATCGGGGAATCGGGGAATCGGCAGGGTCGCGCCGCATGTCCTCTTCCAACCGTGTTTCCCAGACAAATCGACGGTCGATGACTGATGGAGACTGTATGAGGAGCGCCATGCAGCTGAATGAGGCGATCTTTGGGAAGCTCCTCCAGGCCGCGCTGCAGCGCAGCGCCAGAGAGAAGGGGCGGAGGGGCGAGAGGATGGATGGAAGGAGGGCGAGAGGGGAAGAGGAGTTGAATATTCCAGGCATTCTAAAGAAGCTTAGACCAGCTTGGGGGGAGCTTCAAAGTTGGATTTGAGACAGACCAAATCTCCTGAGCCCTTCATTTTGAGAAACCGGTGGTCTCAGCGGGCACAGTTCCAGCGGGCGAACGAAGACTGCCCCTGCGTGGACCGTCCGGACCTCGCGGCGACGGTCCGTTCAGCTCACACTGACAGGTGGCCAACAAAGCTGCGGCCCTCAGTGAGGAAGACATGCTGAGGCCATCCCGGTAGGGTGTTGGTTGAGGTTGAGGTTCCTGCAGGAATGCTGCAAGAAAAGTGGACGCAGCAATGACGGGGGGGGACCCTTGCCGCTTCTTCCCGATTTCTGTGTCGATGACTTCTTGGGTGATGAGTGCCATACTCACATGTCATAAAGCAATTGGGGCATGTCCCCGCAAAAATAAAAAGTTTGCCTCCCAGTCGACCGGAAGGAAAATCTTCCACGTGTTCAGACACCGCAGGTTGAGCCATGTGCAAGCTCACGTGAGAAGACAAAATCAAGAGTCTAGAATGTTCGAACCCAGAACTTTAATTAGTCGATTTGTTTTTTCGTAGTGGAGACAGACGTGTAGAGACTGAATAAAAGCTTCCGAACACCAGACTCCTTGCGCAGGCACTGGCATCAAGTGCACGGCCACGATCCCAGCAAGGGCGACCCGTGCGCCTGCTGAGCCACGCAAAAGGCCGGAGGTCGTTTTGCATCGACGCAGAGCGAAAGCAATGAAATTCATAGCTCATCATAGCTCATCATGGCTCATCATAGCTCAAGGCACGAACTCGTGGAGATTCCGTTTCGCCGTTTTTTTCGTAGCGAAGGGTTCTCGTTTAACTCTGGGGGTCTGGGGGTAGAGCCTTGTTCGCGACCCGTTGTTTCTATGTTCGCAACCGTCCGCAGGTGTTCGCTTGGGAGTAGAACGCTAAGGCGCTGCCATTGGGGGAAGCTTTTGCAAGTGACTTTCATGGATGTGTCACGTGTCAGTTTGCGACGCTATTCCATTGTGATTTGCATGAAAATGACATGTCGCGCAAGAAACCAAATGCGTTTCGCTGCACAGGCGCAGCGTTTTGTGAGATCTGCAGTTTGCTACGCAGTTCCATTGGGATTAGCATTTGGAGAGTCGTGTTTTTGGGGTGTTGGATGTGGCCGTGCCATTGGGATTTGCGTTTCAGGGTGTGACATCGAAGCTCTGTTTTCGTGACCAGTCTCAGCTGAAGTGGCGATTTTGGTGGATGGGAGTGTGCTCAGAAGGAGGTGACATTTCGTGGCAGGCGCAGTACTTTGTGCGCGTTAGGCGTGTGGATGCGGAAAGATTCGTGGCAGGCGCAGGGAATTGTGAGGTCGTGAGTTGTGGTAGAGGTGAATGTCGCTGTCACAGTGGGATTGGCGTGTGAACGGGTGTTGTTTGGAGGGGCTGGACTCGCGAAACTGCTTGGCAGGGCTGCGTGATGTGTGTGTGTGTGCTCCGATGGGTGTTTCCGCTTGACTTTTGGAGGAAGTCTCGTACGAAATGCTCGTTTTGCAGACTTTGACATGTGAGTTTTGGACGAAGTCTCGTACGAAGAATGCCCTACAAGAGTGTCTCACAAGAGTGTCCCACAAGAGCGACCTACAAGAGTGTCCCACAAGAGTGTCCCGTAAGAGTGTCCTGCAAGAGTGTCCCACAAGAGTGTCCCAAAAGAGTGTCCTACAAGAGTGTCCCATAGGAGTGTCCTACAAGAGTGCCCCACAAGAGTGTCCTACAAGAGTATTCCACAAGAGTTTCGTTCAAGAGTGTCCCACAAGAGTGTCCCTTAAGAGTGTCCCGCAAGAGTGTCCCACAAGAGTGGCCTACAAGAGTGTCCCACAAGAGTTTCCTACAAGAGTGTCCCACAAGAGTGTCCCACAAGGGTGTCCCACAAGAGTGGCCTACAGGAGTGTCCCACAAGAGTGTCCTACAAGAGTGTCCCACAAGAGTGTCCTACAAGAGTATCCCATAGGAGTGTCCTACAAGAGCGTCCCCCAAGAGTGTCCCACAAGAGTGTCCCACAAGAGCGACCTACAAGAGTGTCCCACAAGAGTGTCCCGTATGAGTGTCCCACAAGAGTGTCCCACAAGAGTGTCTCACAAGCGTGTCCCACAAGAGTGTCCGACAAGAGTGTCCCATAAGGCCCACAAGAGTGTCCTGCAAGAGTGTCCCACAAGAGTGTGCGACAAGAGTATCAAGAGTGTCCCTTAAGAGTGTCCCACAAGCGTGTCATATAAGAGTGTCCCACAAGAGTGTCCTACAAGACTGTCCCACAAGAGTTTCCTACAAGAGTGTCCCACAAGAGTGTCCCACAAGAGTGTCCCACAAGAGTGTCCTACAAGAGTGTCCTACAAGAGTGTCTCACAGAGTGTCCGACAAGAGTGTGCGACAAGAGTGTCCCGTATGAGTTCCCCGCAAGAGTGTCCTACAAGAGTGTCCCACGAGAGTGTCCCACAAGAGTGTCCAGAAGACTCTCCCACAAGCGTGTCCCACAAGAGTGCCCGTCAGAGTGTCCCACAAGGGTTTCCTACAAGAGTGACCCACAAGAGTGTCCCACAAGAGTGTCCTACAAGAGTGTCATTTGTAGCTTTTCGAACGTGTCTGCATTCGGGTTCGTGGGCTCCATCTTGTTTGCAGAAAAAGACGAAGGAAGTGGACAGACGCAAAGAAGGATCCTCAGCCGATGGAAGAGAAGGCTCCCGATGTCGGAACATGGTTCACGGTGGCGTCTCTGCGTCTGCGACGGACAGAATTGGCTCGTGAGAGGCATCCTGGCGGAAGACGAAGCGTGAAGCCACGGTGCCTGGTGCATGGGTTGAGAGCCGGCTACAGAGCGAAGGGCTGCACTGCTGCGCCTCGCCAGCTACATCTGAGGCCGAAAAGCTTAGGATCGTTGCGGCGAGCGCTTCTGGTAAAAATCAGCCTGGAGAGGAAAGATTTCCCGCGTAACGCAGGAATGGTATTTATCAAACATCGCGCCGCTCAAGTTGTTGGCGAACCGTTGTGACGTCCAACGCCCGTCCAACGCCTCCCTGACGCCTCGTGAAGTTCAGATGACGCCCTTGACTGCCGAACAGCTTCATCTCTCCAATTGGACAGGATGCAGCAAATATGCAGCGACTTCGTACCGCGGTTTGCCCGTGGTGCTCGTACAAGTGTTGGGCAGTTGAGCAGGAACGCTGTGTTCCCTATTGTATGCCGGAGCGCTTGGAGGACTATTATCTCGTTCGCGATCTTTTGTGTGTGGATTTTTGTTTTGGCAGGTGGATCTTGAGAAACGACGCTGCAAATCGGTGCCTGCATTTGGCAGCAGAGTGCAATAAATAAAAGCATGTTTGAAGGGCCCGTGATGCCCTAAGCTTTCTTGGCTGCGGCTAAACCACCCAAGGGCTGAACGACTGGATCCATTGCTCCACGAGACAAAGACATCTCACCACCTACCTGGCACAAGACACTTTGCAGTGCTCTGCAATCGGATTTGAAGCACGTTCCATTACTGATCGCAAAAAAATGTTGAAACTGAAAAGGATTTGAGTCTTTGTGCCTGCAAATCTGGCCCGTTCCTCCTCCGCAGCCATCGTGGTTCCTGTTTGCGTTGCTCCCTTCTTGGATCCTGTGCCCTGTCTTTGTTTTTCCTGATCAATCATCTGCAGCCTTTTTTAGGTACAGGATTGCTGTTATCAAGGCGGAGATAAACGGTGGCAGTGACAACTCAGCTGCAGGACGCGCAGCAGGTACACGCTGCTTTGCCATTCATCAGAAGCCATTTGCGGTTGCAGTATTTTTTTTGATCTGCATGGACACAACATGTGGTGGTGCCAGCTCAGCCGCTCCCAGTCTGCTAAGGGCGTGCAACAGGCGCAAGCCTGTCTGCCAGCAACCTACTGCCTTTTTTAGTTGCAGGATTTTTTGTTCTCCAAGCGGGGACAAACTGTGGCAGTGCAAAATGTGGTAGTGACAACTCCGCCGTTCTACTACTTTCAAGGGCGTACGGTAGGCACAAGCCTGTTTGCCATTCAGAACTTATGTGCTATTGTGTTTCAGAGGGCACTTGTGAGGGAGAAAGCGGGAGTGTGTACAACAATCTTCCTGCCATTTGAAGGACGTTGCTGGCTGTGACTGGTTCTTCTTCTTTTTTCCGCTCTCTTTCCTCCTCTTTCTTTTTCCTTCCCCCCCCCCTCTGCTTTTCTGCTCAAATGTGCGTGAAGACAGGGAGCGCTTGAGCAATGGATACTGCGGGCTGAGACCCACTGCAAACAAGCGACCGCAATGGGATTGCCATGGACAAGTCACTGTGCGGGCAATTCGCCCCACTTCCTTGATGATACCGGTAGCATCACTCCAACTCAAGCTGACACTGAAGTTGATTCTAGCCAAGAGGATTCATATCCGCTCCCAACCGCTTCGCCTGTTCCTCTGTGGGCAGACAAGTGGGCAATTGAGATTGATGATGCGTTTCAGGCACCTATGCCCCAATGGGCCTTTGATTGGGCCGAGGAATTGAAAGCAGGACATTCACGACCTGAACCTCTACCTGATTCCTCAACTTCTGCCCCAAGTCCCCTCAGCAGAAAGCTTTCTCAACCTCCCACCAAGAAGTTGAAAAGCGAAACAAGGAGTATGGATCTTCGGGTCATGATGGGACGCCTCTCAAAGGTCAATGAAGAGCCTTCTTTTTCAATGGGCCACCGTTGTCTCATGACACTCGTCGCAGCACACCAGTGCCCTTCTGGTCTGCGGCTAACAAGGCTGAAGCTGAAAATGCTGTCCAAGCCTTTACGTCCCTTACCCATGGCATCTTTGCGACAGGAGCAAAGAAATCCGTCAAGTTCACATGTGTCCACACCATGGCCGATGGTTTGGAAGTGGCTCGCCGATTGGAGCATTTCTTCGGCAAGGACAAGCCTCCCCTTGCTATTGAGCTTTTGTCTCAGGCAGGCCAATGGCAGCCGCCAGCGGCTGAAATCCATGTGAGCACAGGCGGCAATGAGAACAACACAGTGCTCCGGATGCATTTTCCAAGGAAGGGCTTGGGCCGCAGCTCTAAAGGAGCGTGTGCGTCCATTCAAATTAACAATTGTAAGGGTCAACCCGGGGCGCGCCCCGTGACTGTGCGGGGTACAAACAGTGTTTCCATGGCTTTCAGACTAATTAATTGGGTCATGTGCCTTGGGCCACTTGAGCATCGTGATGGCCCAGCTTCTTCCACCATCGATGCTTTCATGTAGTTCCCTGCGCTGGCTTCATCCGTTCTTTGCACTTCCTTGCGTTTTTCTGAAAACGCTAGTTGCAATTCAGCGCAGTGCAGCGACAGCCTGCAGTATACCACGCTCCACGGAGCCGGCAAAAAAGATGGAGGAAGTTGCTGAGTTTTTTCCTCTTCCTTTCCCAAAGAAGGAACAGACAGTAGTGGAGGCAGCCCCACCATCCTAAGTCCACCAAGGATGTGTAGCGAGTTCTCTTACCATTTGCCACCACTTCATTTGGAAGGTTGTCTTTCTTCCTTCTAAGCAGATTTTTTTTAAGCGGAAGCATCTCGGCAGATTTAGACTACTGAGGACCTGTTTTTTGCTGTTTCTTCTGCTGTTTTCTTTCTTTTTTCTTGGCCTTTCTTCTTTGTTGATTTTTTTGTTCTTTCTTTTCCCTGTCTTGTTGTTTTTCTTCTCTTTCTTCTCCCTCTCGTCTGGCTCTTGCGCGGGCTCTTTTGCTGCCCTCTGTCGCCTTGTTTGCTGGGATGTTTTCTTTCTTGACTCCCGTCTCTCGCCGTCTTGTTGCTCAGAACTCAGCGATTCTAGTCTCCCTTATGTTCACCTCCCCGCCCAGCTTCACTCATGGCACGCCTGACAATGAAGAATGCTTGCTGTGGAGTCCATTAACAATAGCCTTCTGTCTTGGAGCTCCCGACCATCCCTTGGACACTACATTATCACAACGCCAGCTCAAAGTAGCTGCCTTAATCTACGATATTGAACATATCTTGTTGTCCAAACCTAGGATCACATGGGGGCCGGATGATTTGCCCAGTCCCCTGCAGACCGCCGGCCAATTTACTAAGCGCTTAGTTTCTGTAGCCCAGATTGTCCTGGCAAAAGCTTCGCAGATTGCAGGCCCTGTTTCCACTGCGCTCCACTATGGTCCATTTCAAGGTGGGGCCAAGGCCCCGCATATGCCAAATACCCCCCCACCTTGCTTGTTGCGGCTTGCCTCCTTGAATCTTCAAGGGGGGCTTGGGGCTAGAGGAAGAGGCACAGCCAAGTTGCAGCGAATTGCCGCTTTAACGGCCCAGCTCAAAGCTGAACGTGTGCGTGTGGCTGTTCTGTCAGAACCACGCTTTGCGCCACGAGCAGCTTGGCCCTCAGATACGGGGTACATATTTTTGGGCCATAGATCTTGCAAACCTGACACTGTAGCTCTTCTGGTTGCTGAGGATGTGCTGCCCATGTGTCGCCAACTTGACCACATCAGGTCCCCTCATCACATGTGGCTGCAGGTCCAAGTAGCTGAACAGTGCAGGTGTGTCCTCATTTTGTGTGCATGTGGGCTTGCCCCAACTTCCGAACGGTTAGGCTTTTGGTTTGCAATCAGCCGGGAACTTGCAGATCTGAGAAAGGACACATGCTGGCAACAGTGCCCGGTGATCCTAGCAGGGGACCTTAATTGCCATTTTCCCTTTTTCTCAAAAAATGTTCGGTATGGTGGCTCCTGGAACACCAAATAGCTGATTTACTCTCTCAGCACCATGGGTTCCGTTTCTTGGGCAACCCAAGCGGTGATGGCTGCAAGCCCAAGTTTTGAAGCGGATGTATATGCCCAGCAGAGCTTCCCCAGTGATCATTTACATATTTGTGCGTGCTTCAACCTGCACATTAGCTCAGCCTGGGCCCCTCAGATTTGTGGAGTGACTTGGGCTCGAAATGCAGATTGGAATGACGTACTTGAGCCTTTTCATCTAGCTTTCATGTTCATCGCTGCTTGGCCAACTCTTCTTAGCCGTTGCCTTGCCCTGCGCCAAGCTGTTGTGAATGGTGCCAAGAAAAGGTTGCGCACCAACCTGGTTACGCTAGTGGCATCTAGCTCAGCTCCAGTTCCCAAGTAAGGGCCGTGCCATTTCCTCGCAGGTGCCAATTCACGCATGGATTCCCGACGACCTGAACCCATCTGACCTAGAACGCCGTTTTAGTGAAGAGCGTCACTTAGTTGCAGCACTCCAGCGGAAGCAACATCAGGTGACTCAGCGCCATGCCCGGCTCTGGGCTCAAGGACGGTCCCAAGCTGATGCTTTTGTTTCTAGCTTGATTTCTTCAAAGGAGCCCATTTCATTTGCATTTCTAGACCAAAGCGGCAACCCTGTCCCAACGCACCATTGCCTGCAACTTGTCACGGATGATTTCCTGCAAAGGGCTCAGGGTACGGAGAAAGGTGACTGTGAATTAAACTCGTTAATTGCTCAGCAAGTAGCCCAGGTCCGAAAAGACGTATTGAGGGAAATAGATGGCCTTCAAGCCGATCCGTTTAGTATTGCTGAGGTCCAAGCCGCTTTGGTTAAACTAAGCACTGGCAGTACTGCTGTAGGCTTTCCTAGAGAAGCTTGCCGATTCCGCGGCCGGGACCCATTGTTCCTAACTCATTGGGCGCTCGCAATGCCATTGCTGCACTGGCAGCGCAACCCGAATCCTGGTTTCGGGAGGTCTGTCCCATCAGAAAGCATGGACATGGCCCCGTTCATGATCCCAAGGTCCTGCGACCTATCACTACTGTTGATGTAGTTGAAAGCTTGTTGGATGGGCTTTGGTTTGCCCAGGTAAGATACAAACTGGAAGCCTTCATGTCCATGCAGCAAACTGGAGGAAGGTTTGAACACTTCATGCTCGTCCTCGGGGTAGTTTTAGTTCTCCAGTCAAGGATTTTCCACCAGATGCGATCCTTCTTGCAAGTGGCAGACATCGAAAGAGGCTTTGAGTCAGTCCCTCGAATCCTGATCCGATGGCTGCTGAGGCAGGCTGGAGTGGAGGGGTGGAACTGGCTCACCGCTGACATTGCCTTAGGAAGTGAGCAAGCGAGGGTCCGGGTTGGTCAGCTCATTGGGGCTTTGGCGACTTTAGAAGATAACAGTATTGGCCAAGGAAAGCAAAGTGGAGTCCATCTTTTTGGCCTCTACACTAAGACTTTGATTTCTTCTGTCAACAACGCCTTCCAAGGTGTACCCCTGTTTCCTTCTCATCCCAACTTGCATTCGCAGCCTGCTTTTCTTCTTCCTTTTCAGATGTATGTAGATGACGCCATCGTGATCACTGAAAGCGAAACTGACTTGCAACTAGTTAACGCCGAACCGACTCAGGCGGCCAGCTTATGGCGGTGCAAGTTTGCAGGGGGCAAGAACGGGCCACGACTGCTGCCACTCATGCCTACGCATGGCTCGCCCACTTTAACAGATTTTGATGGAGGCAAGTTATGCGGTCAGGCGCCCAGCTGTGTCACTCAAATCACACTCCTGGGCATCCTCATTGATGACGAGCTCAGTTTCGAGCCCTTACTCAACAAAGCGGTGGCGGAAATGCAAGCCATCGGACTTCAACTAGCTGCAGGAATGTCGTCACATGGCTTTGGAATTCCAGCCATGGCGTCGCAATTCCATAGTAGGGTCCTGGGTAAGGCTTTGCGTGGCTGTGAGATCCTAGCTTCATGCCATCCCGGATGGGCATGTGTTGCTAAGAGATTAAATGATGCCCAGTACCTAGTTGCCAAGGCCTTTTTGTGCTGCCCGCACACTGCCCACTTAGGAAGTCAGGTGGCGGCCTTAGCAGAAAAACGGCTTTTAACCAGGGCTAGCGCTTGGCTCGCCAAGAGCATTGTCATGGCACGTGCTAGGCTTGCGTGTCTTCCCTCAGGTCACTCTGCTCGCCTTGCAGGGATCGCACTATCCCACGCAGGCATTCCAGATACTTGGATGTTTAGTTCTTTGACTATTTTGAAAAGGGTCTTGCAGGTTGAGCATGACCTGTGGGATGATTTAGATGCCATTCCACCCGAGGTTTTCTTACAGGAAAACTCAAGGAAACAATTCCTCAGCAATTACTGCCGCCAGTATGTTTTACCAAAAACCCAGTCGCTGGAACACTCTTGGTTTTGCGAGCAACTTGCAAAGCTCAATTCAGAGGGGTTTCCATTTGTCCTGCCACCCGGGACCTCCGGCCCTTACACTCCATGACCCCAATGGATTTCTTGCGGCAAAACTTGGAACAAGCTTGTTTTGAGGCCGAAGCTGTTGACCGAATCGTTCGGGTTGCTTCTGCAGTTTGCAGAGTAGGCACAGCGCTGCGTCTCCGAACGGTTTGAAAAAGGATGCTGCACGCCGCCCCTTCGCTCCCGGGCAAGGGTTCCGGTCATGCTGAGCTCCTACTCTGCTACATTGCGGCGTGGACATCTTGCCTTACCTTGTGTTTTGTCCGCATTCGGTATGCCGCAAGGTTGGCTTCGTACCTTTTCGTAGGATTGCTTCACAGTGCAATTGTTGTGGGCTTTGGGGGTGTGGCTCAGTCCACAGCAACTGCCAGCGTGTTCCTGCGCACGGCTCGAGCTCCACAGCTCCTTGTTGATTCATCAACCCCCATATTCAAGAGGCTGTTCAATTCAAGTAGAGAGAGGGTAAACAACATCAAGAGTCTCCATCAACGCCACCACACGACACGGCTCCGACTTCAGTCGAAGCGACGGCTCCGACTTCCTTGGTAGGTTGCTGGGTGTACCGTTCAAAGCACTAACCCGGAAGGCGCGAACGAAAAGACTTTTTGAGATGACCAGAAAAGACCAGAATAGTCTCTTAAGATGACTTCTCTGGTCAACTGTTGACCTTTTTGTTGTCGTCGAGCACGCGTCGTCCTTCCAAAATTCGGTGGCCGTGCTCACAGTTCAGACCCACTGTGGATGGCAGACTTCGCTCCGTGCGGCGATCCGCGGGGGATCCGCGGGGATCCGCGAGGTACCTGGTCCTGGCGTTGAATGACCTGCAGAAGCTTCGACCCCGCTTGGAGGTCTTCCACAGGCGAAGCGGGTTTTTTTTTCCGGGTGACTGATTCGAAGGGCGGGGCCGAAGTGGTGGTTTGATCAGAGGATCTTCAACGAAAGAGTAGAGTGGTGTTTCTTCGTCGGAAACGCCCACCAGGCGTCTTCTCCCAGCGTCTTGTCCAGGAGGGTCCTCACCTCATGGGATCCCTTTTTGGTTACAACCTGACAAAGGGGTGACCCATCCCAAACCACCAAACATCACTCCGGGGTGTCCACTCCACTCCGAGGAATCGCCTTCTTTTTGGGTTTCCAGGCGAACAGGATGAGTGGCTGGCCCCCTCTTATCCTGGTGAAAAAGGAGGAAGCACGTTCGCAAGAATGTGTTTGTTCTCTACCTTTTGAGGCTGGACCGAATCTGGACCCTTCTCTTTCAGGTTCGGACCGTTCGGAAGCCATATGGATGTTTCCCTTCCAAAACCACGAAGAAATGCCCCCCGGCACGCATGACCTGTCTGACCTGTCTGACCTGCCTGGCCGTCGGCATGACGGTCCCCCCCAACTGGCTGGGTGGAGGAATCCCCGTGTCTCTTTGGTGGGTCACACCCAGTGCCTTGACCGGTTGACTTTTTCAGGTGGTGTTTGTTCGAAGCATTTAGACGCATGGAGACCTGGTGGCAAGACCTCCACTCCACGCTGGACCTGTTTGGGAAGTAGACCGAATGTTCGGAAGTAGACAGCTCCGGTCGATGTGTTTGGGGTTGATTCAGATGATGCGGACGACCTCCAACGAAATGCGCGCATCTTCGGCACCCTGAAGACCTGGTCGCTTGCTGCACTCGTTGCACGCTCCGGCTCAGCTTGGCTCTAAGCCGATGTGGAAGGAAGGCCGTGAAGCTTCAAGAGCGGCGGAAAAGCCATGCGAAGAACAAACAAAACCCAATCGCATTCAACAGCAGCCCCCATCGCAGCAGGCCCGTCGCCGGGCGTCGAGCCCCACGTCGTCGAGCCCGTCCCGACGAGTCGACTCCGTCGATCCATCGACGAGCGCCGCATGGCATGGAGTCGAAATACTCCAAGTCCAAGGCGCCCAACGACCCGCGACACGCTGTTCCTTAAGGGCCGCTCGCTCTCCCCCCCTCCCTACTCAAGTAGAGACTCCCCTATTTAATTAAGTAAGGAACTGAGTTAGCTACTAGCTACGAGAACTCTACTACCCACTGCACGCAGGATAGCTCACGCAGTATTCATTTGGCTCCCAGATTTGGAGACTTAACTGTAGGACAGCCATTTTCTTACGTTGAGACTTTCAGCGGGAGGGACGTTTGCACGGAATCCCAACAAGACAAATGGCTTGCTTGGCTGCCTAGAGAATGGTGATGTTTCAGTCCGACTGTGCCGACCAAAATGAGTCTGCCGACCGGAAAACGCCAGGCCAGACAAGATGCCATCAAGCCAGCCTTGGCCTTCTTCTGCGGCTTAGGCGCATCCGAACGCCGGCTGCACGGGGCGGTGGAGATGTTCTGCCTGCGCGGGGCGAAAGCAAGAGCAAGACTAGCAGTGGATGGCTTAGAGAGGTGAGCAACGTGTCCGGAATGGAGAATGGAGTAGAGAACACAAGCCACCGCAAGCAGGTTGTGGTGGAACTGTAGAAAGGAACCCCTATTTTCCGGATTTTTTCACTTTTTCCGGAATTATTTTTTCGTGTTTTTTCCCCTACTGCTGTTGCTTGTTGTTCTTGCTTTTTGCTTCTGCTTTTGCTTTTTGCTTTTGGCCTTTGCTTCTGCATTTGCTTTTGCTTTTTGCTTTTGCTTTTTGCCTTTCCTTCTGCTTTTGTTTTTGCTTTTTGCTTCTGCTTTTGCTTCTGCTGACTATCTTGTTTGCATTGACACTGCCACAAAGTTGGATGATAAGACCTTCACCTTGAGCTTTGACACCCAATTACACCAATCAAGAAACGAAGCAGCCCAGCGCTGTCTATATTTGATTTGCATTGCGGGGGAGGCGCTGCGCCCTCCCCCGCACCCCGTCCCGCTTTTAATTTTTCTTTTTTAATAGTTGCCACTACCGTCCACCACCCCTACTATTTCCAATACCTCTATCACTCGGACCAACCCGCTACGAGTCTTACCACAGTTTCCGCAACTACCATGAGCACAGGAAACCATGAAAAAGAAAGGTTTTATGTTGCAACCATGTTTTTTTGGGTCGTGGAATGGTGATGCATAGAAACCCGGTTTTCAATCATGACTGTTTGCAAGGTCCAGTCAGCATTGGGGTTATAAAGGTCCCTTACACACCAAGCACCTCACTCCTCCCACCCAGTTCTCCCTTTCCCTGCCACACTCTCCGTCGGCTCAACGCGGTGACCCGCAAGCTGAAGATGCACAGAGAAGAGCCTCGGCCTGAGACATCCTGGGCTATCTTTCAATTGGTATTACAACACCGCTAATTCATACCTGAACATATTACCACTGCAAAAACAATAAAACATGCATATACATATAAATATGCATATGCAACATCGTGATCAGCAGCTACTCATCTCGACCATTTGTATAAACAACAATGATATATCCATTTGTATTTGAGATTGTTTGAGTATATATATATATATATGAGTGAAAGGGAAGTGACAACCCAGAGCGTCAAGCGCATCAGCCTTAAATCTCAACCTTGCCACCTGCATAAAGTGATGAATTTGCATCCCTCATCAAAAGGAAAAGTCTCTGAATTACTCGGAGCGAGGTAGTCCGTGGTGAAACTCGCCTTGAAACTCGTGAGGACTTCCCCACGAAGTCCTCAGCCATTTGGTTTGAGTACGCCAAGGTGTTAAGACACCACTGGCCTTTCCTTGACTCCCGAAGAAGGTCAAGGAATTGATGATGGCAGTAATGTCCCTTAGGGATCAAAGGGAATCGCCGCTTACCAACCCTGAAGCACATCAATGCCAACTGGGAATACTTCTCTAAAAATTTCAAGCCCCGCCGGGCTAAAAATTCAGCTCGCTCAGCCTTCAGAAACAATCCCTCGCTGTAAAGCCCTGAGAGGCACTCATTGATGGCCTGTGTCGCTTCAACCTTGGCACGCGCATTCAGGGACCGAGTCAGATTTTCAGGCGATTGTGCATTTACAACTCCTGGACTGGATGAACAGGAATGTAAAAACACAACAAAATGCTTCAACATTAAAGAGAGCAACGCAAGCAAGACAAATGGGATCTTGAGTTTTGCCGAGGACCTCCCTCTTGGCATAGTCTTCAAACCACTTCAGGACCAACCTTGTGAAGTCTCCCTTGCTCCACCCTGCTTCTGGAGTCTGGTTGAACCCGCTGTCCACACCAAAGAGGGATGGAGAAAGCTTTTTGTGGTATGGGCTTTCGTGGTTGCTGCGACAGTACTGCTGGAAATCCAGTGTCAAGCTTTGGAAGGCACGCTCCAAGCTACCGTCCAAGAGTTCAATGCATATACATACAGCACTGGAAATGAAATTCTTTCCGATTCCAAGATGTATGTTATGAAACAGGTCGAACTGCCAGAATGACAAATCGCCGTCGTCAGCATCCTCTTTCAGGAAAGGGACCCGAAGGAGTGGTGAAGGAACTACATATGGCTTCTCTAGAGCCTCTGTGATTGACCAAGTAGGAAACTCTGCGCCAAATTCCTCATACGGTAGGTCCACTACCCAGCCTTCTCTTCCAGCTAGGCAGCGGTGGCATATTCCGATGCACAGACTTTGGCTGACATGCTTTGTGGGTCTTCGACAAAACGTACGCTCAAACCGACCCGACTTCGCCAAATACGGGGAATCACCTTTGACTCCCAGCATCGCTACAAAGTATCTTTGCTGACCAATGAGAACCCCTTGGTTGAACAGCGCGTCCATCTCATCGCCCATCAATGAAAGGACCTGGTATAAGGAATCAGTTTGGTTGTACAGCTTGATGGGAAGAGCCGCAAACAAAAAGTGGTTCTGCAGACTGTCCCCCAGCATACTCAGATGCAACGGTGATGACTCGTCCATTGCCGACCCTTCATCAGTGGAGCGGTTGCATCGGGAAGTTCCGCGGCCTAGAATGCCTACCAAGCTCAGTATCATGATTTGCTTCTTCTTGTGGGATCGCCCCTCGTCCCCGTGGTGGAGAATCGGGATCGTGACCTCGGGATGGCAGGCTGCTCCAGTGTCGCTGTGGAACATTCTGTGGTTTGGGTTTGACATTTGGTAGCGCTTCCAAAACAGTGTGAGGGTCTTCTTCATTTCTGCCAAATCTGAAACGCCCACCAAATGCTCCATGTAGTCCTCCTCGATTAAGTATTTCATCCAGGAGGAAAATCTCACATATGGAAAGTCCTTCATGCTCTCCACATCTGTCTTGCTTATCTTCACCGGCAGGGATTGTCCAAATGTCCGAAAGACTCGGTGCGCGCCATTCTCACTATGCTTTAGATTCACATCTCGAAGCGCTTGAAGACCCTTCGACTTCACTCGGGTCACCCTCGCCTGGCGGATGGCGTCTCGGCATGAGACCTCGGAACGAGTACGATCGATGGATGTATAGATATACCGGCTTAAGTTTTCTAAAGGTAGACAAGCACAGAGAAACATATGTCTATATATATAGATATATATATCCAGTATAATGGTTATTCCTCTATATATATATATATAGATGTGGCAGAAACCCACAAAAAGTTCAGCGCGCGAAACAATCAAACAAGAACACCATTGTGAATTAATGGTGTCATATATAGGGTTTGCATACTCTCCAGCTGATCACGATCCGATACAGTATCTTTTTTGGATACAGACGCACTTGGGGATCTCCAAGGAATATAGTTTTCGAATTACAGAGAGGCAGCTCTATATAAGTCCTCATCCAATTGGCTTCATGCAATCTGCACGGGCACCCACGATGTAAACAAAGTGGTACCTTTCATTTTCTGAATTTGGAGGGCCTTCACCCCCCAGCCGCTCATTGCGACACCCCAGTTGACCCAAATTGGATGATATCAGGGATGCCTCGAGCATTTGCGCTACCCCCAGATTCTCTGTAACATGGAGCAAAGTCATGTGAGTATAGTTGGCCTCCTTGTAGAAAAGAAACCTGACAGGGGGATACGCTGTGATACCCAACTTGTACACACAAAGGTCCCGGTTCATCTTGTTTCGGAATTGGGAGACACGACTAGCGCAACTTTGTAAAATTGTACCCGCCGTGGCTTTGAGCCGCTTCGAGGAATCCGGGTACGAAACACTGATGCCATAGTCGTGGCAGACCTGTTCTAGCAGGTTCAAATCAGCAGTTGGCTTCAGGCATGGTTGGTGAACTTGAAGGCTCAGCTCACGCAAGGGTTGTCTCATTGCAGTTTGGCCCCCATTCACCTGACGGACATATTTTTGCATCGGTATTGATACCTCAAGTAAAACCGGTTCCAATGAACAACAGGTCACAAGTAAAACAGGTGCCCCATATGTGCAAAAAGGTTCTTGTGATCGAGACATGGAGCATGGACAACAGCTTCATCTTGGTGAGAGGCACACCTATAGAGACAAATGACACATCCAAAGTCTCCACTAAAAAAATGCACGCATGGCAGCGAACTGTTTTAAAGCTTATGTTTGGCAAGCACTGCTTTGTGCATCTGAGAGTCTTGCGGGTTTTGTTGATCCCCATCCATTCATCACTATAAGGAGGACACCGCTTTCTTCCGGTGACAGGGCAGTCATAAGTCAACAAGTCTCGAAGTTCTTCTTCATAAACGCAGAAACCCGTGGAACCAGCTGCCATGAGAGACACAACCGGACCCAGTTTGATCAAACATTTGCCGGTTGCTTGACCCCCAAAAATTGGCTGCAGCATGCCACCCACAATTGAGAGTACAGATTCAGCACATACATATATAGCTAAAAACATGTTTGGCTTTCCACCTGTGGTTGCCCCTAACCTCCTATATGTATATGGGTCTCTCTATTTTTTATAAGGCCTGAGGATCAGGCGCCACGCCCGACCATTCGGGCAAACCCACGCAACTCAGGTTCTTGACCTGGCCCGCAAATGGCATGGGACACCAGTAAGGCCAGAAGGGGCTGGGGACAGCTGCACGGTGGATGGGTCATTTGTGCGGGAAGTGAATTAGAAGACAAAGGCCAAGAAGTGCTCACCATCTCTGTCCAAATCATATTGAGTTGTACACCAGACAGCCCCACAACAAAAGCGAAAAGAAGACATGTATTGAACCCCATCTCGATTGGGTCACACAGCTCAAATGAGATCGTTTTCCTCAACTTGCCATGACCACCCTGCAAGAGTGACTCCGCAATAATGCGCATGGTGTGCACCAAGTGTTGCTGTAACACAAGGGCTTCAAAATCCGAGACTACAGATCAATCTCATGAGTCTCACGATCCCTCTTTCTCAGCTGCATCTTTGAACTTCTTCTTTAGTCCTTTCTCCAAGGACCTTGACTTGATCCCAGAAATAAATATTGCAAATGCATTACTGCACCACTCACAGTTAACCTTGTATTTATGTGCAGGTTGGACGCTTCCCAGCAGCTTCTCCAGATGCCAGCGCGGATGCCCTGAGATAGGGCGCTGAATCAGGGCCATGGGAGTTTATGGAAGACCCATCTTTGACTGATCACTGATGGAAGATACATTCAGAGCTCGGTTGATGCATGTAACACACCTTTTGGCATATTATTTGTATAGGTGAAGGTTCATGAAAACAGTGGGTGCGAACTTGACCGGAGTTTCCGTTGGCACGTACAAATGTGAGCAAAGGGTCTTTTCCATCGCAGTCTTCATCTTGGCCTTGAGGTCAGCAGCATTCCTCATGGCCGGAGAAGAGGCCAGGCAGCCCGTGTCATATGGGGTCAAAGCTGCAGGTGGTGATGCCCAGTTTTTGGTTTCATCCACAGCATCAAAAGGTTCATCAGTATAGTGTTCACACGTGTCTGTGGGGTTCTCGTGTTTCCAAGGGTCTCTGGACAATTAGCCACGCGCAACGCCTCGAACTCATCATAGGCCAATTGCGCCGCAGCTAGCTTGTCGTCCAAGCCCTTCACCGACCTGAGCAGAAGTTGTATAGAGGAGTTTGCTTTGGGGAGCGTTATATGCACACAACACGTCATTATATACACTGGATTGCCTTCAAATTTAGATAGCTTCAGGATTGAAAACTTGAGTTTATCGTTGTTGTCGCACAGCCGTGCATATGTTTAAGCGTTCGGCTTCTTGACCCGTTCAGAGTCACCATGGGAGAGACCCTCAAAATTCTCCAACTTGGAAATCAGATCCGCAATCTTGCTCATCTTGGAAATCATGCCATCGGAGAACTTCTTTTGCAACTCCCGTTCCTAAGTAAAGACAACTGGGATCCGACAGAGAACATACAATTGAGAGGTCACGAGACAAACGAAACAACGCTTTTGGAATCCTTTTCACCTCTCT